GTTTCACAGGGGGCAGGGAGACAGCTGAAAGCATGTTGCTCTTAGCATTCCACGGAACATTGGCAAAATGAATTCCTTATTTTGCTAAAGAGCTTTGGAATGTAGAGCAGACTCCTGACTCAGAACCATCCCTCATGCCCACCAAGTCCTTCAAGGACTCTCCAGGTCCAGAAAACCTGGCTTTCTTCCGTTTCCTCACCTACAAAATGGGCAAAACCCAGATTTGGTTGGCTCCACATACACTTGGGGATGCAGAACCCCAACCCCCAGCAAAGCCTGTCTCCACCAACAGATCTTTCTGCGAGCCTGGGATGGAGTAGGGAATGCCCAGGACTGCTTGTGACTGTTCTGCATACTGTCTGCGTTTCTTTTTTCTTTTTCTTTTCTTTTTCAAGATGGGGTCTTGCTGTGTCTCCCCGGCGGGAATACAATGGCACAATCACGGCTCACTAATGGCTCGCTGCAGCCTCAGCCTCCCAAGCAATCCTCCTGCTTCAGCCTCCTGAGTAGCTGGGGCCACAGGTGTGCACCACCACACCCAGCTAATTTTTAAAAATTTTTTGTTGAGATGAGGTCTTGCCATGTTGCTCAGATTGGTCTCAAATTCCTAGGCTCAAGCGATCCCCCTGCCTCTGCCTCCCAAAGTGCTAGGATTACAGGCGTGAGCCACCATGCCTTGCCTTGTCTGCATTTTTCTGCCTCTCCTCTGCCCACTTCTCTGACACTCCAGGAGTGAATTCCCAGCCATGGATTCTTCTATCTGATGAGCCTTGAATCACAGCCCAGAGGTCTGTGGGCTATAGCCACTCCACTCACAGGTCTGCCCACACTGTGGTGTTATTAAAATGTTTACATTAGCTGCCAAACTTAAAAATCAAGAGGTATCACATAAAAGTTCCAGATAGACAACTTGTTCTTGAAAATGCAGAAAACGGCACACGTTGCCACCAGCAGTGTTGGCTGGATCTGGGTACACTCTCCTAGCAGGCTCCGTGAGGGTGCCTGCCTTTCTCACGTAGGCGTTTGAGTTTGCCACTCTGGGTCTAGTCCAATCTGCTTTGTACTCACCTGCCCTCTTATAGCGTATCTGAACAATTTCAGCTAGTATCTGCTTAAATGCCTCTGGTCACAGGAGGCTCACTACATTAGCGGGGCAGTCCACCTGAGCTGCGAGGAAGGGGCTTCTATGGAACTGTCTTCCCCCTTTCTGTAAGGAAAAAAAAGACACAGAGGAAAGAAATGGGTGTTGGAGCCAAGCAGGTGTGGATCTGAGTACCTCTCTGGCATTCAACCAGCTGTGTGATGTAAGGCAAATGATGGCCTTTCTGAGCTTTTGTTTCCTTAGGTGTGCCACCCCTGCAGGGCTGTGTGAGGCTTAAACTGGAGCGAGTTTATAAAGCCCCTAGAGCAGGGTCTGACTCAGGGTACATGTTCCCCAAATGGCCTTTCTCATCCTAGGTAACTTCCAGCCATGGCTCCAACTCCCCACGGTGACCACGGGAGCTGGGAGCAAAGGAAGAGGGGGCTGGACGATGGTCTGTGCCAGACGGCAGTGGGAAGAGATCAGGCACTTGCTCCCGTGGGCATCCACCCTCTCAGCAGGCTGCAGGTACCTTGCGTGCTTCCCGGACTTCTTGGCCCACCAGGTGTGTGAGGGACTTGAGGGTGGCGGAGCAGGCCCCAGGATGCAGCCCTAAATCCCTGTCCTCCCGTCACAGCCCCAAACCATCCCTGGATGAGACCCCTAGTCCTGGGGGATGGAACGGGAGACAGGGAAGATCAGGGGAGGGAAAAGCAGGGAATGATAGTCCACCTCACTGGAGAACAGCTGTAATGACTGGCCACCTGGCTGTGGGCCCAGCTGTCTGCCAGGAGTTCCACCTGGGTCCTTTCACTTCTTACAACCACCCTAGGATATCGATACTGGTATTCTTGTTTTACAGACATTGAAGTTTAGACTCAGAGAGGTTAAGAAACCTGCCTAAGGCCACACAGCAGGACACTTGTCTTCCTGGTCCCTGAGCCTGCCCTCCTGACCACTGCAATCTAAGACCTCCCTAAAACCCCATGGTCCCTAAATGCCAAGTCGTTGGGGTGGGGAAAGGGAAAGACTTGGTTTTGGTGGTTTTTTTTGGTTTTTCACCTCAAAGTGCCTCTGAGCCCGTCTCTGAGCCTCTGCCCATGAACTAGGGTGCATCCATCGGAGTGTGTCACCACACGAGGTACTCGGTGTTTGGGGTCATGCGTGCAGGAGCGAGCGTGGGGTGGATGTGCGGCCCGCGCCTGTGTCCACAGAGGGAATCCGTGGGTGGGTCTGGTCCTGGTGTCGCCGGGACGTCCCGATGGTGTCTTCGCGCACTGGGGCCCTGAGTCCACGTGCGCAGCGCGGG